TGCAAAATAGTAATTAATCAAATAATAATGCATTATAGAAGTTTAGTTTCTTTATTTGTGACAACCAATTTGGTTTTCATCATGAGAATAGTAATAAAAAGTAGTTAAAGGTTCCAAATTATAAACCTAGGGCTTGTCTACACAACTGTGCACGGATTGGTCTGAGTAGATTCTGCTGGTTCACACACCAAGGTTCCCAAGTAACTTTTAACTTAGTACTAAAAAAATAAGGAAAAATGCTGGTATGTTAAAAATCACACCAGGAGCCTGTTAGTGTGCACTAAAAGTTCCTTATTGCATATTAACATAGTAGCTTTTCTTTTATTACTATTTTAAAGCTCACTATGGAACTTTTAGTGTGCACCAGCAGGATCTATAAAGGCCAATTATTGTACAACATTAATTCTTTAAAAATTAATTCTCTCACATTCCCCCCAACCTCTAGTGTCTTATTTTAGCAGGGAATGTTCTCTAGCTTCAAATATTTAGTGTTTTTAAAATTAAATCCACCACTATGTTGCTAACTAATTAGTATACACAGTTTGAGTGTTAAATGCCATTCCAAGAATTCTGCGTACAGCTGTGAAGATAATGAAGACATTGGTGGAAACACAATGCTCCAATAGTTAAAAAAATGGTTGCCTAATAGCAGAAGTGTTATAGTCAGGTCTTCAAGAGAATCTCTTTCTACTGTTCTGGGACAAAGCTAAATGAAGTATCTCAAACACTAAGTTCCCTGTAAGATGTGTGTTTCTGAGCTCCACTCAGAAGTGCAAAGCTCCTATGCAGACAGGGAGCTCAGTTGACTGGTGGGGGGAGGGACCTGCTCTTGCTAAGCAAGCAGCTAAATGGAGCTGCTCTGTGCTTGAAACTGAGCAGCTCCCAGAGCAAATAAAAAAGGAAGATAAGGTAGCTCCTCTAGATACTGAAAACTTAGTACCATGGCTACTACATACACTCGCTTTTTCCCCCTTCTTTTCCTAATTTGTTGTATCACATCTCCATCTACAGTCAAGTATAAGCTGTTCGGAGCAGGGACTAGGTTTTTGCTAATTTCTATGATGAGAGCTAGCACACTTTTCAATACTCAAAAATAAAACTACTAATAAACACATCTGACACACAGTAGCAGATTTAAAGGTAGCCATCCTGCAGCAAAAAAACTTCAAGACCAGACTTCAAAGAGAAACCGCTAAACTACAGTTCATCTGCAAATTTGACACCATCAGTTTAGGATTAAACAAAGACTATGAATGGCTAACCAAGTACAAAAGCAGTTTCTCCTCTCTTGGTGTTCACACCTCCACATCAGCTGCTAGAAGTGGGCCTCACCCTCCCTGACTGAATTAACCTGGTTATCTCTAGCCTTATTCTGGCCTGCATATTTATACCTGCCTCTGGAAATTTCCACTACATGCATCTGACCAAGTGGGTCTTTGCCCACAAAAGCTTATGCTCCAATACATCTGTTAGTCTATAAGATGTCACAAGATTCCTTGTCGCTTTTGCAGATCCAGACTAACATGGCTACCCTTCTGATACTCAACTTTTGTAAGTGACACTATATACATCTCTAAGAGACATTAACACCCTGCAGAACAAATAAGTGAGATTAGGAAGGAGTGGGGGTGGGGAAGAAGAGCTGGATGGAGAGTGTATATGACCAATATTATTGTCTACGTACTTGCTACAGTCTCCAATCCTGCAATATTTTGTTGAAGCATCAGCCAGCCACAAGGGTATTTGTTATTTCTCTCTCTCCAGCTGGCAGCTGATGTATATATTCAGTGCATTTTTAATTTAACAAAGCTGATCCATGATAAGTGTAGTGTTGTCCAGTGTTCCTTCTGAAGTCTCCAGAGTTTCCCAACCTATGGGTCGGGACCCAAATATGGGTCACTATTACATTTTAAAAGGGTCACCAGGTGTCTCCCCAGGTGGCTCTTAAGGACACATTCACACATTTTTTTGAATTGCCCTGGCTTATCAAGTCTTCCTGAATTGTCAAAATGAATCCCCATCTGGAAAAGGTTGGGAACAAAGCTGTGCAGAGATTAATCAGCCCCACCCAATCAGTCAGCTCTATGCATGGAGCCCTAAGCCTGGGTTGGTCTGATTTATCACCTGTGATACTATGGTGCCCGGCAGCTTAAAGGAAACACTGGTGTTGTCATACTCCTATTTAAATCCCCCAATTAAAGAGTAAACTAATTAATTAAGAGTAAATTAAAGTGAGCAATGCCATTCAGTGCTATATTTTTATTTTACTTTTAATACTAACCATGGTCTGTCCTACTTTCTTTGCCCTGAAACATGGTCATTGCTTCCAGATTCAGGGCACAGACACCACGCATAAAGGCTTTTTTCATAGTGTCTTCATACTGTTCCCTTTCACTATGCAGTCTCAGGACATCAGCTTTTGCCTCTTCTAGAGCAACATTTAACTACAGTAAAGGAAAAAAAAGATTTTAGGCATCTGTGAATACATAAAATTACCATATTTAGCTTTAAAAAACATTTAACTATTTGTCAGAGTAGTATTTTCCTTCCAAGTCTTTATTGTTTTAGAAACAAGATTAAGTATAGATCTCTGAAACATAATTCTTTGGATACTTCTGATAAGTACATGGCAAGGAAGGAAACAGATGCTACCATACCCAAACAGACCAGAAGTCTGTGCAAGCCACTGTTCTTTCCCCAAATTCAAAAAACTAGTCACTTCCAAGTCAAATCCTTGTAATTCATTTAACTGCTATACCATCCCCTGGTGAGGCAGAAAGAAATATAGCTAATACTTCTTCCTGACCCCACCTCGACGGTCTTATTGCATCTGTAATTTTATTTTTGCCACTGTATGCAACTTTAGCATGAAAGGCATACTTTCATGAACTTCTTTAACTACATCCACAAATATATAATTTTAACAAACATTTGAAAAACATGATCTATGTTGGTTAAAGACAGACCAAGTTATACACCTGCAAAACAAGGGATTCTGATATTTTTTCATAAGTTACATTTTCAAAATTAACTGTTTTCAGGCAAAGTTTTCATAAGCTTATAAGGGTATTTCTAGACTACATGGCTCCGTCAGTGGGGCCATGTAGATGAGGTTTCTAGACATAGGGAAATGAAGCGGCGATTTAAATAATCGCTGCTTCATTTACATCAAAATGGTTGCCGTGCTGTGCTGATCAGCTGTTTGGCGGCACAGCACAGTAGTTGACTGTGGAGCTTCCAGACAAGGGAAGCCTTTGTCGACCGCCCCATTATGCCTCATGGAATGTGGTTTACCGGGGCGGTTGACAAGGGCTTCCGCCCGCAGAGCGTCCAGACTACCGGGCTGTGCCGCCAAACAGCTGATTGGCACAGCGCGGCAGCCATTTTGATGTAAATGAAGCAGCGATTATTTAAATCGCCGCTTCATTTCCCTATGTCTAGAACCCTCATCTACATGGCTCCGTTGACCGAGCCATGTGGTCAGACATACCCTAAGTCCTCTCTAACTGTTCTTTCAGTTCTTTTTAAACTGTAACCATCTTGAAAATGAATATCCTAGTGGTCTGATGTGTGAAAGCTCTTAGTTTAAATTTTCACGCATCTTCATTAGTGTGAAATTGAAAGTTGCAGGGAAAAATTATCTATCCACTTTCAACAGAAAAACAATTATACATAGGTTTCCATTTATATGATGACATGACATGACAGAACTACCCATTCACAGTAAGAAACTTCTTTTATATTGGTATATAACTAGCATAAGTGACAGCTGACTTAGGCTTGGAAAGTTGGAATCTAAGGGTATGTCTAGACTACATGCCTCTGCCAACAGAGGCATGTAAAATAGGCTACCCAATGTAGTAAGGGAAGCGGGGATTTAAATATCCCCGGCTTCATTAAAATAAAAATGGCTGTCACGCAGTGCCGGCTCAGCTGATCATCGGCACAGCGCGTGCGAGTCAAGACACCGATCGGTCGACAGGGGAAGCCTTTGTCGACCGCTCCTGTGAACCTCGTTCCACAAGGCATAAGGGAGCAGTCAACAAATGCTTCCCGTCAACCAATCCACGTCTTGACTCGCGCACTGTGCCGACGATCAGCTGAGACGGCACAGCGTGGTGGCCATTTTTATTTTAATGAAGCCGGGGATATTTAAATCCCCGCTTCATTGACCAAATTGGGTAGCCTATTTTACATGCCTCTGTCGGCAGAGGCATATAGTCGAAACATACCCTAACACTGCTACCTACATAACCCAGATCTCCTGATTCCATCCTGCAATTGGTAGAGCTTTTCTGGCACTCTGAAGGAAAAGCAAAGCATTATTTGGCATTAAAACAAAACAAAACAAACACACACAAAATCCTTACCTCTGCAATTTTAGCTTCATAATCATTGGAAAGCTGAACACAGACTTCCTCAGCCCTTAACTGACATGCTTTTGCTACTTTTTCTTTCCATCTTGCTTCACTAAGAGAGCGCCAAGCTGCCCAAACCCTCTTCATCAAAGCTGTCTGGAACTGTCTGTCCGCCAATTTATTTGCATATGCCTTAAATAGTAAAATATTGCCAAATTTACGTTTCTTTTAATGAGCACCTTGATCTTTACATAGAATGTGGTAAGTTGTTTTGTAATATTAAATGGATTATAGTGTAACATATGAAATATTGTAGTTTAAATGCGTGAGGTTTAAATATACTTTAGCTGACAAACCACTACATATACCGCTACCACTTTAGACTAAGGATGTGCATGAGTAGTTGACAATCTGATAAGCAGGAGCTTTTCGGGTAGCACTATTGTCTACTTGATCACTATTTCCCCCACCCCCCCAAACCACTCTGCACTCTTAAAGGGACAAAGATGCTGGTTCAATCTCTGGTCCACTGCCAGGTTTTAGGACAACTCTCCCCCGCCGCATCACCACATTCTGAAAGGAACAGAGCAGCTGGTCCCGTGGGTCTCAGCACAAGACTCCTCCCTGCTGCCATTCTGCATTCTTAAAGAGACAGAGCAAGCAGTCCCACAGGTCTCAGCAGAAGCCATCCCTTTGCTGCTCTGCATTATTAGGGACAGGGGAGCCTGTGTGCAAAGATCCTGGCTCAGTACTGGTTGCCCACCTATAGCATCCCAGCCTGACAGCCAAGGGAAGTCCCCACTGCTACATTGGCAGAGGAGCATTCCATTCCATGCAGCCCCAACTAGGCTGGCCAGGGACTGGGAGACACTGGAAGTGATAGCTGTAGCTGTGCTAAGAGACAGCAGGCAGTGGACAGTCTACCTCAATTTCAGCCCACCTTGGGAGGGAGGGCTGGGAGAGACAGAAAGTCTGATCTCCAGCTGCACTGGGCAGCATGAGAAGGGAGTGGGATTCCCTTTGAGCCCCAGAGGGCTGTGGGAGGAGGGGGCTGGGAGAAGAGAGGTAAGTTCTGGCTGGACAAGAACTTCAGCAACTAGAGTGTCCTTTCCAAAAGGAATTGGAGTATTTGTAACCTGACACTCTGAGCCCCAGCTTAAGGGCTGCCGTGACACTGTGACTAGGAGAGTTGCCTATTCCCAGACAATTTCTATGGGTTCCAGACAAGTGACTACCATTAGGTTTTACAATTTGTTTGGGGACAGGGCCAAGCTTTGAAAGTCAATAAGGGCGGTCACCAGGTTTTTGTTTTCTAGTGTAGTTTCTTGGTTCTTCAGAGTGCCTCAGTGACCCATAAGTAAAGTAACAAGCACAACTGCAATCAGGATTTGCAGGATGAAGACCTTATTTACATTACAAGCAATCTCCACAGCAATGTGTTAAAGTGCTTTGTTTCCTTTGGCAGGAGGGAAAGGTTTCTTAGTAAGCCTACTATGTCTGTCTCTGTGAAATGCAGTGAAATCAAGAAAGGTTTGCTTTTTTCCACAGGGCGCTGATCTGCAGCATTTGCAGCGTGTGGGTCCAACACACTGAACCAGCGTACTTTCGCTGCTGGCTCCCCTGTCCCTAATAATGCAGAAGGCAGTGGGGAGAAGGAGGGGCCCTTGTGCTGAGACCTGGGACCAGCTGCTCTGTTCCTTACAGAAAGCAGAGCGGCAGCAGGGAAGGGGCGTGAGGGGAAGGAGAGGAGGCTTATGTGGAGACAGGTGGGATGGATACTCTGTCCCTTTCAGAATGCAGAGTGGCAGTGGGGTTGGGAGGAGGACTGTCCTGAGACCCGGTAGGGGACCAGAGATTGAGCCAGTGTCCTTGCGCGGTGGCTCCTCCCTGTCCCTTTAAGAGCACACAGCAGCAGCCAGGAGTTGAGATCCAGCATGAGCGGGAAGTGAGCACTTTAATAGCCCTTAACGACTAGTTGAGTAGTTGATGGAAATTCCATCAACTACTCAACTAGCTAATTAATTGCTACTTAACATCCCTGCTTTAGATGTGTAAGGTATTTGTACGGAGTTACTGCAAGAACTGCATAGCACCTGCAGTCATAATGGTAACTAGAGAGTCATGTGTATCAGTTGTCATTGTTAAAATCAAGTTTTACTAGAGAAAGAGAGCATGCGCTTTGAAGGCTTAAAACTCGTACCTTTAAAAAAAAAAAAAAAACAAATTGTAAAGTACCTGACACTCAAAATATTTTCTAAAGTGGTAACAGGAAATCCACTTATCCACTTGATATTAAAACAAAAGGAACAAGCTGAAGAAAGACTAAGTAGCCAAAATATGTCCAAACCAACCTCACAGCTACCAGCAGACTACGTGGGAAGGGAGAAGAAAGAAAATGATCCTCCCTTATAGCAGCCAGAGATGTTGTGTGTGAAGTGGAGCTTCAGACTGCTCAGACACCATCCAAAACATTATTGAAAATTTGAACCCAGAAAGTCCTTATTAACAGCTTAGTGTGAGAGGGGTTTGGGCACTGACCCTGAATAGTAGGGCTAGTATGTTTAGTTTGCCTGGCTAACAGAACTTCCAAGGTCTACAGGAGAGTAGCTGACAAAGATGCTAAGTAAGAAGTGTGGAGACACAAAATATAGAGGAGGAGAGGACAACAGAGACCTTACTTGCAAAACCAGCACCAAAATCAACCGGTAATAAGAAATGCATTTTTCACATTTCACAGACAAGCAATGGCTTCAATGACAGGATTTTAGAGTGAATGTTTCTATTAGTGCTCCTGCAGATACTGGGAAGATATCATCCTTACTAATATATAGGTAATTGACAGTGTGATCAGCTACAGTATATTTTTGTAATTAGTAATAAAAAGAGCAGATTTCTGATTCACTTGTCCCTACCTTAAGCATTTCCTTAAGTACCAAGTTCTTTTTTGACTGGGTACTCTTGAACTTTCTAAATTTTTTTGTCACAAAACCAAAATAGAAAAGGTCTCCTTCCTTTTGATTGCAGTAAGAGCTGCACTAACTCTGACCCTTTTCAGTTCAGAGGCTTATCATCATACCTTCTGTTTTGCACACATACCTCTTGTCTGGCCTCCACATGCTGAATCCGCCACCGGGTAAATTTTTTCATTAACTCTATCCTCTCCTTTTGTTTATCTAGCGCATGGGATAAGTTAGTGATTACCTGCCAAAATATTTATTAACAGAAGATTTAGATAGATATTTTTATGCTCTTTGGTGAGTGAATGAAAGTATTCTAGCTGGATGGGTTACTTATCGTTTTAATGAAATACTATGTCTTCTACTATGTCTTTTCCTTAATATGTCAAGAAGAAGAACAATAATTTAAAGTTCAGATTATGACTAAAATTAACTCAAATTCATCATTAAGTGACACTTACACACCACTAAGTTTTTAAACTGTGTAACTTAGCAAAATTAAATGGTTATTTCCCCCTCCATCTGCAAACTTATGTCATGAATGCTACACTGTGGAATAACTGAATTAAAAGAAAGCAAAGACTTTGAAGGATACACAGACTTTATCTTACTCAAACACAACACAGCAAATCAAAAACAGTTATGATTTGTTTTATTGAAAGTCTGTCTTAAGTGTAATGTTAGTTCTTAGTGTGATGGTCAGAAAAACTGCTGGTCTCTAAAAAGTTTTACTACATTCTAGCCAAAGATAATTAATCTGCTGAAGAACTATTAAGAACTAAACATCAAACTAAGATCTATGGTTCTGCCTGTAATGTCTCCACCATTAGCTACATGACAGCTACAATTCCCTGGCTCATTTCCAAACAGTCCTCCCAGGACTTCTTTACCTCAGGCCCTTTCTTTTTGTACCTGATAGTGTTTATACCTCCCAGACCTTTCAAAGCACCTTCTTACACCCAGCCCCTTAAACGCAGTGAGCTAACAGAAGGGGTGTCTTTTTAACCAGTAATATAAAAATACAATTTCGCAACCCACCTAGGGTCCAAAATCAAGGCCAGACCTCATTAGTGCTGTGACCCCGTACACCAGGCCAAGTCCCACAACACAGGAGCTGTCACTGCAAGGTAAGTGCAAGGTGGGTTTGCTTTCCAACACCCATGGCCCCAAGCCTCCTCCACACCAGAGTGTATAACCCATCTTGGGATTGTAATAACTGAGCTGACAAACTTACCATAATTGTGAATATATGAAAGTTCATAGGATATTACAATAATCCATAACAAATGTTTACTGAAAGCAACCTGATCTACTTTCTATCATGAATGCTATAAACAGGTTGAAGAGGATGAGACAAAAAAAAAACAAACAAAAAACCAAAACAAATTGGTCCTAAAAGAAAGGCCAAGTTGATACGATTCAAGGACTATGCTTCATAAAAACAGAAGATGTGGCACCGGAAAGTAATAAACCAAAACTGGTGTACCAGATATTAACCCTAAGTGGTGGACAAAATATTGAGGGAATGGATTATTTCAGCCGTGGCCAAACCGAGGCTCATGAGTTCTTCCTCCCCACGCCCCAGGGTGCGGCTCACGAAGCCCTCCCTCCCCTCGTGGCTCATAAGCCGCCCTTGCGCCCCCAAAAATGGCCCTCTCCTCCCAGCTCCCTGTGCTGACCTGGGCAGGGGAGCTGTCCGGCGCGGCCAGGAAAGATGTAGAATTAAAGATGGTGTCAGCCAGCAGGAGCCTAATGTGGCCAAAAAGCCTCTAAATGTGGGTTTTTTTGTTGTTGTTGTTGTTCGACCAAACCCAACCGGGGGCTCCTTTTAAATGGGCAATTCCCTTTTTTTTTTTCCCCTCGACAACTTTGCCCCAGCTTTTCCCGCTGGATCCATTGCTATCTTGGCTCTTTGCCCAGGACGGGGGCTATTTCATCCTTCACTCCCTTTTCGGGTCCTTAAAGGAAAGTTTGGGAGGCAAAATGAAAAGTCAGATGAAGGCTACTTAAGCAAGCTTCATCATTATGGTTGCCACCTGTGACGTAGTGGGGGTACCTGGCTGGTTTCTATGCTGCTGGCTCTGGGGGAACCCCCACTGGCTGTCGTGGGTACCACGACCCAGCAAAACAGGATGAGTCACTATGCAAACCAGTGGCCAGACACCCCCCATGGAGAGGAACAAAGGAAGGTGGAATGCTGCCTTGGCTGGGGGGCAGGGCTGGAAGTGAGGGAGTTGGTTGCTGGCTGTCGGAGGGCATGGAGGAGAGCCTAGGGGAAGGGGCTGGAGTTTAGGGGCCCAGTCTCCCCCATCTCAAGGGGGCCTGAGGCATCCTAGCCCAGTTCCTGTAACCAGATTACATCTGTGCTGCGCTGTGCTGGAGGAGCAATAAACCACCCTCAATTCCACTGGCTGGTGCAGTCTGTTTGTGCCATTTCGGGGTGCAGGAGACGGGGAACCCCCAACGCGCCGTCACACTGGTGTCAGGGGTGGGATGCACTGCACCCCGTGGATGGAGCTTCCAGCGGCCAGTGCCAAGGAGGAGGAGAAGCAGGAGACCCGGAGCCAGGCGTGCTGGAGACAGAGCGAAGCGGTTCCTGGGAATCGTGGGGCGCTGCAGCACTAGACTGGTGAGTCTGCACCGAGGGGCCCAGCGGGCAGATGGCCTACGCCCGACTCTTGAAGGCAGAGCTGGTGGGGCTGTGCAGAGAGAGGGGCTTGCCTGTGCAGAAAGCAACCAAGGCCCAGCTGATT